GTTTTGTAGAGAAGATATTTTTGTAGAGACGATATTTTTGTACAGAAGATTTTTGTGGCGACACTATTTTTGTAAAGAAGATGCTTTTGCAGTAAAGATATTTTTGTAGAGATTATACTTTTGCAAAAAAGATATATATGTCCGCAGTTCTTTGTGACAACTGACCGTCGCGGCTTCGAACGTTCCAGAACAAGCGCTTATCAGATTCACCTTTGGGTCGATGACTCGAACCTCATCGGGAGATACATTACTGGTGACTCAAGGCATACTTCTATTATTTACTTAGAAGATTAGAGCGCTCGACCGAAGGTCCGAAGGGCGCTTGGTTTTTTCCAGAAGCCTCGCTCGGCGAGGCTTCGTAGTGGGCCCACTATATTTACGTCGCTACATACTCCCCCCGTTGAGAGGGTAGTGATCAACCTTAATGTACATCTAATTGCCCTACATCGGTAAAACAATTTACAATTAGATGTTTACAGTTGAATGTTCGCTTAAATTATTGATCGAAGGGAAGTGGACATAGACACTTCACGGTTCGCTTTAATGTTCCGGTTGCCGTTTTCACGGAAACGACTCGCACCACTCCATCTTGACCTGGATGGATTTCTTCGATTCTCCCTAGCGCCCATTGACCGCAGGGAAGGCCCTTTTCCTTGATGAGGACGATCGTTCCGACGCTGATTTTTTCTCCGTCTTTAGTCCATTTAGTACGGATTTGGAGCTCGTTGACATATTCCAGGTTCCAGCGAGCCCAGAAATCTTGCCGCACCTTCATGGTGTGCTTCCAGGTGGACAGACGGTTGGCTGGGACAGACGAGAGATCAGGCTCGGGCATATTAATCAGTGGTCTGCCGATTAAGCAATGTGCAGGTGTAAGGACAGACAGATCATTGGGATCGGATGAGAGAGCGCAGATGGGTCTGGAATTTAATATTCCTTCGATTTCTATAGTAAAGGTATTTAGTTCCTCAAATGTAAACAAGAGCTCACCGACAACACGCTCAAAATGATGTTTAAATAGTTTTACAGTGGATTCCCATAGTCCACCGAAATGTGGAGCTATGGGAGGTATAAAATGCCACGTAATGTGATGTTCAACCGAGAATCGATTCGTACGATTCCTGTGTTCATCGGAGTTGAATAGAACATATAGTTCTCTCAGGTGATTATTCGCACCTGCAAAGTTAGTCCCATTGTCCGAATAGACGCGTGTCGGTATCCCTCGTCTCGCTATAAAGCGACGCAAGGCTGCTAAAAAACCATCGGTGGTCATGTCGCTTACGATTTCTAAATGTACTGCCTTTACGGCCATACATACGAACACACACACGTATACCTTGATTCGCTTTTGATTTCGATACTTTTTCTCCTTAATGTAGAAAGGGCCGCAGAAATCGATCCCGGTATTATCAAAGGGAGTCGCGTTACTCACTCGGGATTTAGGTAAATCACCCATTTTGTAATGATGTAATCGACCGAGCCGGCGTTGAATCGAAAGCAACGTATGCATGATCGTATGATTTTACGCACCTGGTTTCGACCGTCGAGTAACCAAAATTTGCGTCTAATCGTATACAAAGTCGTTTGTATGCCGGCGTGGTAGTATTTTTCATGTGTTTCCCTTATAATTAAATCCGTTAAGAAATAATGACTTGGCAGTAAAATTGGGTGTTTTTGCAAAAAGGCTAACCTTGATAGTCTGAGGCGTCCGCCAACGCGAATCAAACCATTTTCGTCGAGAAACGGATTTAGCGCTGCAATATTGCCTTTCTTTACCGGGCGCCCATTCGCAAGTTCATTCAATTCGCGTAAAAAACAAGATTCTTGAATGATCTTTGTAATTCTCGTTTCCGCGTCATTTATTTCCGTTATGCCTAGCTGCCCGCGGTAAGTATTCTTTGGTCAAAAACGTAGGCATAATGCTGTGATTTTTAATAATCGTGAATATGACGAATATTTCTTAAGAAAGTTACAATTGTTAGAAACCGTCGCTATACATATATTTTTTCGTAATTCGGGTAATTCCTTTAATTCTATGATGCCGTTAGGCCATTCGCCTTCCTCTTTCGTTAGCCACAATGGTCCGGAGAACCATGATTGGTTAATCAGGAAAGCCTGCGGTAACTGACCCCGTGATAGCGCGTCGGCTGGATTATCTTCTGATCGAATATGTCGCCAAGCTTGTAAGTCTGTAATTTCTTGAATTTGAACAACGCGGTGAGACACGTACGTTTTTAATAGATGAGGATAGTATTCACCGCATCGGGGGTTAAATCGTTAATGATACGTTCGTCGTTCGACGCCCATTGTCGGATATTAAACCGCCTCGAGAAAGTACCGTGATTATGTCATCCCGTAACTCGCGAGCCTCGCTAACGGTATTCGTACCTGTAAGTAAGTCATCCACGTATAAGTGCGTTTTGAGAACTCGGGCGGCGTCAGGATACGCGTCGTGCTCATCACCGGCTAGTTTTTTAATTGTTCGTATAGCCAGATACGGCGACGAGGATACGCCGAATGTAAGGGTGTTAAGTTGCAAAGTCTTTATTTGATCGTTCTGGCGCCAGAGGATTCGTTGGTATATCTGATCATCCTCGTGCAACAATATCTGCCTATACATTTTTTCTATATCTGCTGTGAGAACACATTTATACGTACGGAATCGAATTAAGTGAACGAATAACGTATCTTGAATAGTCGGCCCCACCATTAACCTGTCGTTTAACGATGTGCCATTGCTCGTTTTTGCCGATGCATCGAACACGACACGAACCCGGGTCGCGCTGCTCGATGATTTGATTACCGTATGGTGCGGCATATAAAATCTTTTATTGGAAGGGTTATTCACCGGAATCATCTGTTTCAGATCTGAATATTCCTGTATTACTTGCGAATAGGCGGCCCTTAACAATGGATCTGAGTCGAGCTTCCGTTCGAGCGAATTTAAACGTTTGAGCGCGACGGTTCGCGAATCGCCGAGGCTCATCTTATCCCTGCGAAATGGTAGTCTCACTATATATCGACCGTCGCGGTTACGAGTAACAAATTTAGTGAAGTGCTCTTCGCATTCGATTTCCTCGTTAGATTTCGGCGTATCGGGGGTGTTACGACCCGCGTTTTTAATTTCTGCGCGGGGACGTCAGAAAATCTCCGACGAGAAGAGGAAAGGCAGAGAAGGAGGAGGAGATCTAAATTTTAGAGTGCGTGTGGGTGTATGAATGAGTGTATGTGTGAGTGTGGTTAGCATGATTAATTTATTCTTGTTTGTATGTACATGGTGCGTGTATACGTGTAGGGGCTTTATAGCGCAGACATATTTCTGCCTTTCCGTGGAGCGTTGATGCGCGGGAGAATAACCTTTATCCTCCGCTGCAATCGCTCCACTGAGACCACCCGCGGGCGGGCGGTGGCTGGTCGGGCAATTGACGGGTTCCCCAAGACAGGGGACGGTCCCGGGCCCGGGAGCGAGGCCAGCGGTGCTCGCGGAGGAGGGGTGACTGGGGGCCGCGGGTTCCACACCCGGTTAGGGCAGCTCTCGGTGGCGGTTGGCGGGGGTGGTCGTGTCTGAGGTGTCGGTTTTTTCTCGGCACGCGGGAGGGGACCCGTCGGAGGAGGAGGAGGCTGAGGGTACGGGGGAGGAGGTTGAGACAGCGGGGGTGGACGACACCAATACGGGGGAGGCGGTTGCTGGTGGGGTGTCTCCCGGGGCTCGGGCACAGGGGGTGTACGGGCATAGACTTCAAAGACCCGTGGGTCGAACACCCGCACCTGGTGGTGCGCCTTAATCAGCCGCCGTAACTGGCGCTGCCGCCCCGAGCGGCAGGACCGGCCCATAATCGGGCTCCCTGCGGAAGGCACTCATGTTTAAATTGGTTATTCGTACAAGTGGGAAATTGTGGGTTAATTTAGTGGGGAGGGTAAATAGCTGCGTCCTGCTCTGGCACACACGGAATTGCACGCAGTATTCCTCCTCCCGTTTGCTTTACGCGTGGGTGGAAAGCATTGGTTTTTTTTATGGAGGTATGATTGGAGGAACGCCCTGTGGAGAGCGCGCAACCAAGGTGGCAGATGGATCAGAAGAACGCCCGGTAGCGAGCGCGCATCCGAAAGGTGGAGGTGTCACAGTTTTCGTCGCCGAAGGAGGTGGGGGCCAAAATATCACTACCGAGCAACAGGGTATTCCGCGTACGACAATTAATTAGTACCTCGACGGGCAGGATATTAATTGCTGGCTAAGTATCACTATGTTAATCCACTTACTTTCACTCCGATTATCGCACTCTCACTCACTCT